GAGAGAGATTTTGCTCTAAAGAAAGATTTGGAGAGGAATCAATTTCATATGGAGTGAACTCTGCGTTTAGCTGTTCAACGAGAGAGAAAGAAAAGCAGCATGAGAGAGATAGAGAGCGTGAGATATATCAAATTTCTCTGTAATAAATAGGTGTGGGTTGAGGGACCTTAGACATTAAAAAATAATATTGTGGATCTCTTCTATTACTAAAAATGGAGGAGGGACCTTAGACTAATTTTCCTTTAAAAATAAGTTGCTTGATATGCGTAAGATCAAATTTGTTATTTATTATTTTCAAATTATATATTTTAATTTTTATATTATGATGGTGGTAGCGGTGGTGGTGGTGGTGGTGGTAGCGGTGGTGGTAGCGGTAGCGGTGATGGTTGTGATGGCATCGTGGTGGTAGTAGTAGTAGTGATAGTGGTAGTGATGGTAGTAGTAGTGGTAATAAAATGATGGTGATTTTTATGGCAATAATGACAACGGTGATAAAGGTGGTGTAGTGGTGGTGACGGCAACGACGGCAATAGTATGGTGGTTGTGGTAATGATAGCAGCAGCGATGGTGGTGGTGGTGGTGGTGATAGTAATGGTTGCGGTGGCATGATGATGATGGTAGTGGTGATGGTAATGAGTTTATAATACTGTATATATCGATACTTATATTTATCATTTATAAATTTAATCAGAATTAAATAAGTTTTATATGATTTAAAATTTTCATAAGTTTTAATCTATATTTTAAGAGGTACTTAATTTTTCAAGTGATATCAATTATAATTATTAAACAGATTTAATTAATTATCACTCAATACAATTAATTTTAAGTGTTAAATCATATTAACAAACCCCCAATAATCATAAACTTATTTCCTAAATACATATTTCTTGTAGTCATGTTTTAGTAGTAATATTTTAAGGTTAAAATCATAATACGATTAGAAGGGTTTATCTCATTGTTTCTAATTTTATTTTTATGTTTTAAATTTACCAAAGTTTATGAAAAAAAATACAATCAGTGTGTTGGTTTCAGTTTTCTGAATTCAGTTATTTAAAAATTAAATTTTTTATTTTTCATATTTTTTTTATTTTTAGTAAATATTTTAAATTTAAGCATTTTTTTTACTTTTTTAGATGCTTACTTAGATGTATCTAAATAGTAAAATATTTATAAAAAAATATTTTAAAAAATATAGAAAAATGTATTGAATTTTTGTATTTTTTGGCATTTAGTAAATTGTTTAAAGATTTTTTTTCATAAATATTATACTTTTTAAGTGTATTTATGTTAGATGTATCTAAAAATTTAAAAAAATTGCTAAAAATATTTTAAAAAATTATTGAAAACATTAAAACATGGAAAATAAAAAAGTAAAATTTTTTGAAAACTGTTTTCTGAAAACCAAAACCAAAACCAAACAAGTTGAATAGTATAGTTGGCTTGTTTTTGGTTTTTCAAAAACACTTTTCAAAAAATTCTAATTTCTTATTTTCCTTTTTTTTTTGTTTTTACTGAATTTTTTTTAATATTTTAAACATTTTTTAAAAAAAAATTTCGACACACCTAATATAAAGGCACATAAAAAGTATAATTTTTATAAAAAATCTTATTAAAAGTTTACTAAATATCTAAAATAAAAAAAAATGAGAATTCAATATGTTTTTCATTTTTTTATATATTTATTAATTTTTTAAAATATTTTTTATAAATTTTTTATTTTTTTGATACCTCTAAAAAATAAAAAAATATTTAAAATTTTAAAAATATATACTAAAATTAAAAAAATAAAAAATAAAAATTTAATTTAAAAAATTCAAACTAAACACACACATTATTTTTCTTTATTAAAAATAAATTTTCATTGTCTCCTATTTTCACCCCCTTTACCGCCTCTCACTTTTGCAACTACCTCGGCCACCGCCTCTGACTACCTCCTACTTTGGATTATTGCCTACAACGAGTCCCCTCAACTTTGGCTATTGATTATCACATCTGACAACCTACAATTGCCTACCTCCACCTCCCATCGAGCATTCCTTTGGCCTGTTCGGTAGAATTGTAAAAAAATAATTATACATTATAACTTACTAGATTATGGATTGGTTTGAGAAGTGGGTTAGTTTTTTGATTTTTTGACTTTTTGACTATTTTAGTCTGAGCTAAAAAACTTGATTTGGGAAGAGTTTTTTGGCTTTTTGACTTTTTTTGATTTTTTTTTAGCGGCAAAGTTTTTAGGGCCACCAATCATTTTCCTATAACTTACGGTCATGCTTGAGAAGTGGGTTAGTTTTTTGACTTTTTGACTTTTTTGGCTATTTTAACCTGAGCTAAAAAGTTTGGTTTGGGAAGAACTTTTTGACTTTTTAACTTTTTTTGATTTTTTTTGTGAGAGAAGAGTGTAATGATTATGGGTTGGATGTGATTTTTTGTTTGTTATGGTTAAAATAGTCTATTTTGTCTTTTGTGGCTATTTTAGCCAAAAAAGCCCAAAAAACCTCTTCCCAAACAGAGGCATTATAGATTTAACTAGAAAAGTAGTGTTTGGTTAATAAACTGTAAAATAATTTTTTACTGTATAATTATCCTTTCTGTCCTTATATGATATAAAAATGATTATTTTGTTATTTTATTCAATTTTAATTTAAAAAAAATTATTTCATTAATAAAAAGTTAATATAATTAGTATTAATTAGTATCAATTAATATAAAAATTAATACATTTAATAAAAATGTAATGGAAGTATTATTGTTACAATTTTTTTCTATTATAAATTAATTAGTATCAATTAATATCCCTACACCAACTGCGCGCTTAAGTCGAAAATTTAAGCACTCCCTGACCAGCTTTTGAGATAAGCTGAGAAATAGCTTAATTTAAGCTCTAAACTGGTTAACTTAAGCTGCACCAAACACAACATTTTAACTTAAATTAAGTTAAAAGCTGAAATAAGTATCTTATAAGTTCTACTAAACAGGCCTGTTAACTTATTTTTAATTTTTTTAAACAAATATATATGTACTTAGATTTCAATTGAGAACAATCGAGGGTTGCTTGACCTGTGTTAAGATAGTATATATTATTTATTTAGATTATATTATTTTTTTATTATATTATTTTAAATTCAAATTATATTTTATATTTTTTTTAAAAAAAATTTAAAAAATATATTAATTTAAACACTTCCTAAACAACCTTTAAGACGGATTAAATTAGTTTCGTTTAATTTTTTTTTTGATGTGATTATTGTGAGCCCAAAAAATAAAATAATTATAATTTAAATATGATATTTAATTTTATTAACTTATTTAATTTTTTTTTTATCTTTTTGTATTTATTTAGACAAAAAAATTATTGCCAAACAACAACTAAACATGTTTTTGTTTTATTTTTAACAAAAATGAACATAAAACTCAAAATTCAAATCAATGTGTTTGGTTTGAATTTTTTTGGAAGAGGTGGTTTGGAATGTCCTAAATAAGTGTACTTTTTGACTTTTTATAAAAAGATGTGTAAAAAAGTAAAGAGAAGATGTTGATTGATGTGACCTAAAAAAGATAAAAAGATAAAAAGATGGACTAAAATAGGTTATGCCAAAAAAAAAGCTTTAAAAATTGAATTTTTTGATTTTCGTGTTTTTTTATTTTTTTTTAGTAAATATTTTTAAAATTTTAAACATTTTTTAAACTTTTTTAGATGCACCTTACTTAGATGTATCTAAAAAATAAAAAATTTGTAAAAAAATATTTTAAATAATTAATAAATATATAAAAATGCAAAAAATGTACTGAATTTTCTTTTTTTTTTGTATTTTTAGTATTTAGTGAATTTTTAAAAAAAATTTCACAAAATTTTTACTTTTTAAGTATATTTATGTTAAGCATGTCTAAAATGTAAAAAAAAAATTGCTTAAAATATTTAAAAAATTCAATAACAATAAAAAATACGAAAAACAAGAAAATAAAATTTTCTGAAAAGTATTTTTGAAAAAATGGAACCAAGCAAAGTGAATACTTTTCAAAAATTCAAAAATGCACGTACGACTCGAAATTTAAAAATTCAAAATTCAAAATACAACTCAAAATAATTTTCAAAATACAAAAATTCTTTTTAAAATTCAGAATCAAATAAATTTCTTTTTTTCAAAACTCAACTTATAATTTCACGTTCAAATCACAACTTTAAAAAGATAATTACAATTTTAAAACTAAAGTAAGAATAATGCTTGGGACCCCCTTTTGGGGGTCACCCCTCACCCCCCCTTTGCCACGTGGCTGGTGGTGATTGGAGGAGCAGGGAAAAAAAGAAAAAGAAAAAGAAAATGTAACCAATGAGAGAGAGAGTGGGTTAAAGGAGGTGGGGGGAAAAGAGGGGATGAATCATTGTTGCTAAAGTAAACACTATCTATATTTTTCGATAGACAATCCTACCATCTATGATCATCGGCCGCTACTTTTATCTACCATTCAAGCTCTAATAGTTTCCACAACTAAGGATTATTTTTAAAAAATAGTTATAATCAGTTTTTTATGAGAAAAAGAAGTGGGTTATAATTTGAGAAGTGAATTATAACTCACTTCCCAAAAAATCCCTAAACTTGTTTGGTTTTTGTTTTTTACCAAAAACCTTAAAAAAATTTGTTTAAAAAAAAATGACAACAACCAGTTTAATACCGACAAGAAGAAGCCGCCGTTAAAAAAATACAAGACAGTGGTAACTTGTAGGTAGGAGAGAGGGAGAGAGGAAGAAGACGGAGACTCGATTGCAGGAATAATGTGAAAAATTTTAAAAAATTTATTAAAATTTTATCAAATGAATTTCACATTTATATATAATATTTAAAATAAATTTTAATAATTTTTTTTTGAATTTTTAACATTTTTGAGTTTTATTGGAGTAGTATTTTTCATAGGTTAGTGCTTTACAGACTGTAGTTAACTCCGCCCCAACCAACCACCGCCTTCCACCTCACCCCTCCCCCAGCCCCTAAACCACCATTTACAACTGATTATCTCCCCCTCTCTCTCTCTCTCCCCAAATATAGTAAAATACTTTGCAGAGCTGCACTGTCTGTCTCTCCAACTTCTTTCTTTACTCTCTCTGTCTCTCTCACTCTAAAGAAAAATGTCTCCATCTAATTCAATTTCCATTTTCTCTCTCTACAACCTGTTGTATTTCTGAAGATTTTTTTGTCGATTCTAGGGTTTGGAGTAATGAATTTCTCCTTCACCAAATGAGGGATTTGTAGGGTTTGCCCTCGCATTCCTCAGATGAATAATCTCACTCCTCCCATTCTCACCCACACTCTCTCTCTCCTCCTCCTCTTCTCTCTCATCATCTTCGTCTCTTCTTCCCAAGACGAACTCCGATCACTCCTCGAGTTCAAGAAAGGGATCCGAGTCGATCCCCTCGGCAAAGTCCTCAATTCATGGAACCAGTCCTCCGCTGCAGCAGATCCCAACTCTTGCCCTCACTCCTTCTACGGCGTCGTTTGCGCCGACTCCGGCAACGTCACCGCCATTCTTCTCGACGGCCTCGGCTTGGCCGGTGACTTGAAGTTCTTCACTTTGAATGGCCTCAAAATGCTCCGAAATCTGAGTCTCTCCGGGAATTTTTTCACGGGTCGTCTCGTTCCTGCATTGGGTTTCATGTATACTTTGCAGTATTTGGACTTGTCTGGAAACCTGTTTTACGGACCCATTCCAGCTCGGATGAACGATCTTTGGGGATTGAATTATCTCAATTTGTCGTCCAACAATTTCGCCGGTGTGTTTCCGAGTGGAATCAGGAATCTTCAGCAACTCTATGTGTTGGACTTGCATTCAAATCAGCTTCGTGGGGACATTCAGGACTTGTTTTCGGAGCTTAGAAATGTGGAGTTTGTTGATTTGAGCTATAACATGTTCTATGGATCTCTGTCAATGGATTTGTACAACATTTCGAGCTTGGCCAATACAGTGCAACATTTGAATTTGAGTCATAATGATTTGGGTGGTGGGTTCTTTAAGGATGAAGCCATTCAGTTGTTTCGGAACTTGGAAGTTTTGGATTTGGGTCATAATCACATAAATGGACAGCTCCCTTCATTCGGGTCATTGCCAAATCTTCAAGTTTTGCGTCTGGGGAATAACCGGTTGTTTGGGTTGATACCGGAAGAGCTGTTGGAGGATTTGATTCGTTTGAAAGAACTAGATCTCAGTGGCAATGGGTTTTCTGGTAAGAAATTATTTGAATTAGAAATTTATTTATTAAACTTTGGATCAGCATCAAAGCAACCAATGATGCCACTACACCATATATTCCTTATTTCCTTAGTTGTGTTGTGCATTCAAAGAAATACAATCTCTGATGAACTTTGAATTTTCTGAGCATAAAATTGTCATGATTCTACAACAACTATGTTTTCCTTTGCATACGCCATACATATATTCAAACCTTACTTTTTCCCCCTTTTACCCTCAAATTATGGGACAATATGCATATGTTTTCTATAATTTGAGTCCAAAAGGAGGCAAAAGTAGTAAAGTTTTGATATATAGTCCACATGACATGATAAGTTATAAGCTATGCCAAAGTATTTACCAAAAAAAAAAAGAGTTATAAGCTATGCCAACGTATTTGTTTGTAGTGCTTTTTGTTGAGAAACTCAATTTGGACAATTATTTATTGTTACAACGGGTTATAGTTTATAGAGATTCTTAATTTGGTTACATCATTCATTTTAGGCATTTGCAAAGAATATGAAATAAATTGAATTGTCGGTGTGTGGCTTTAAATCCTCTTAGTATTCTTGAGGAGGTTCAGAATATTTTGTATAGCTCAAATTTAAAGTCATTGACAGCTCAAAACTAATTGTTGACAGAACATGAAAGTTTAAAAGGAGAAACCTTGTTTGCCTTTACCCAATCTATGAAAACCTTGGTCCTTGGATTATTATTTCGTGTGTAATTTAGTGCATATCATTGGCAGAAGGCATGCTTCGACATGTTAGTTGCAGAGATGACGACAGGGTTGGGATTTAGGGCATATTTAACCAATCTGCATAAGAGATGAATTTTATTCTGAATCCAGCACGAACCTTTGGCTGAGGTGGGGCAAGTTGACAGGTGGGACGTGGAAAGGATTTGTAGGGCTATTAAATTAAAAAGAGATTTGAAGTATCATTTATGCTACAAATGCTTCTAGATTTGTAAAAAATGTTAAGCCAGAAAGATCGGTAACAGACAAGAGATCCGTTTTGGGGGGCCATTGGGAGAGTGAAGTGAGGGCGACAGGCTCATTTGGGTCTGCATGCCGGGTTTTAAAAATGTTTTTTGGTTTTGTTTGCATATGTTTAATTAACGTTTTTTTTAATTGCTTTTATGGTTGGTTTTTGACTTCTTTTTTTTTTTTCAATTACAAAAATCCAATCTTAAAAACTAGTAGAAAAGCAAAAGCCGATTGAAAAAAGTTTAAATGGCAGCTATTAAGCTGACTGCAAACAAGCCACATAACCTTCCATTCCCCATCTAGCCTAAGTTTCTTGGAAAGAAAACTAAGGGAAAACATCCTATAAAGTTCTCCTAACAAAACGTGGTGTTCTCAATGAACAAAATAACTAAAATGAAATCTCGTTAATAACCAAAAATCTATTGTAGATATTTGAAGTTTCATATGGAAGGAACAAGGCCATAACTAATAGCATTAAGTTTTCACTATTGACCGACTCTAATCTTGGCTTCACATCATAACCAAAGTAAAACAAAAGAGAGAAGAGATAAAACATGCTAATTATAAATACCATGGCATACCACAATATCTTGAGTTGTTGTACTCAAGGGCCTTCTTGACCATTAGGTCACCGGTTGGATTATTTTTCTACTGCAGTAAGTAGTTGTTGTAAAATGGTAAACAACAGTGAAAAGAGAGCCTTGAACTTGTGACTTGTCCCTCTTGAGTTAGCTGAAGGAGCAATATGTTGATGAGCATGTATCAGCATACTCCTATATTGTTATGTTGCTTTATTTAGAAAATATGCACAATAAAGCTGCCTTGGCAACCGTATTGTCCCGGTGAAGAGCTCAATGCTTCTTAAATTTGTTTTTCTTCTAAATATGGTCCAATTTCATGTTGCCATCATGAGCCATATAAAACTCATCATATTTCAATGTTCTTTTATTGAAATTATATCTACTTTATCTGGAACTTAATTATGAAAACGAAGAAATCGATAATGGCTTAATATACTTTTCAAGGATATTCCGTGATGTCAGTGGAGTATTTGAAAAGCACCTGTGGACTGACCAGGAGCATTTAAGCAATTACTTTTCAGATTAGATGTAAATATCATGGATTAGTATAGTTGGTATTTGTTGAGCTTTTTTTATTTGACTTCCCATTTTAATCTATTGAGTCTGTAGTCGGGGTTGCCTTTCCAATTCACCTCACCAATCTATATCTGCTGCCGTGGCTGCTGCTTAAGGCTTGTTGAGTTCTCTGCCAAACAGGCTATTAGATTCATTTCTCTTATTTTGCTGCGGTTAAGGTATAATAGGTGCACTACATCTGTGTGCTACTACCAGCTAAGAAACTGGATGCTGCAGGTTTAACCCTGTATTCACATTTTTATGACACGAGGCATTGTGTTTTGGATTCTTAAAGATTCACTAGATTCATTTGTCTTATTTTGCTACGGTTAAGGTATAATAGGTGCACTACTACCAGCTAAGAAACTGGATGCTGCAGGTTTAACCCTGTATTCACATTTTTATGACACGAGGCATTGTGTTTTGGATTCTTAAAGACACACTGTTTTTATTGAGTGTACAGACTGGTACATGTTCCATATCTTTTGGTTGTATTAGACATGAATGTGGTTGGAATTCTTTGTTCAGTCTCACTCTCACACGACAAACACCCCCCCCAACACACACACACAAAATACCCTCTTCTTTGGTAACTGAATATTTCTAAAATCTGTACTTGTCAAAAAGAAGAAAGTTTCTGACTCAATTCAACAATAACTTTCATGGTAGTACGGATTCAGTGTCCTTTTCTTTTGTGTTAAAAACTTACCGATGCACACTATTTGGTGGTTGCACTCATCTTCTTTGAGCAAATATTTTGTCAATTGCTTAACTGAAGTGTTTAATCTTCTGCATATGTATGTGTACAGGTCCAATCCATGTGATCAATTCTACAACTTTGAGCATTTTGAATCTTTCGTCAAATGTGCTATCCGGTTCTCTGCCTTCTTCTGTGGGAGGATGTCGCATAGTGGATTTGAGCAGAAATGTGCTCACCGGAGATATATCTGTTATGCAAAGTTGGGAAGCAACTTTGGATATTCTCGATGTGAGTTCAAATGAGTTATCAGGAAGCATTCCTAACCTGACATCTCAGTTCCTGAGTTTGACAACTCTCAATATTAAAAATAATTCTTTAGAAGGTACCTTGCCTCCTGTGTTGGGGAACTTTCAAAGGCTGTCTGCAGTTGATCTGAGTTTGAATAAACTTGATGGACCTATTCCACCTAGTTTTTTCACATCAATGACCTTGACAAACCTGAACCTTTCAGGAAATCATTTTACTGGACCTATTCCTCTTCAAAGCTCACGCGCAATCGGATTATTAGTTCTACCTTCTTATCCACAGATGGAGTCTCTTGATCTCTCTGATAATTTTTTAACAAGTACCTTGCCTTCGGACATAAGTAATTTAGGTAGGCTTAAGTTTCTGAATCTTGCAAAGAATGGCTTATCGGGACCGATACCAAATGAATTGAGCAAGCTTGGTGGGTTGGAGTACCTAGATTTATCCAGTAATAATTTCAACAGTAACATCCCTGATAATCTTCCATCTAGTCTAAAGGTCTTTAATGTGTCTCATAATAATCTCAGTGGACCTGTTCCAGAAAACTTGAGAAACTTCCCTAATACTTCATTTTATCCTGGCAACTCTTTCCTGTTCTTCCCAAATGGTAAGCCACCAATGCAGGGTGATGATCAAGGGAGAGGGAAACATCACAGATCAAAATCGAGTATTAGAGTAGGTATCATTTTTGCCTCAGTTGGGGCTGCTGTGATGATTGCCTTTGTTCTGTATGCTTACCATCGAGCACAACTTCAGGACTTCCGCATTAGAAGCGGGTTTAGTGGCCAAACTACTGAAAGAGATGTTAAATTAGGAAGACTTTCTAGGCCTTCTCTCTTCAAGTTCCACCCAAATGTTGAGCCCCCACCCACTTCTTTAGGTTTTTCCAATGACCACTTGCTAACCTCAAATTCAAGGACATTGTCGGGGCCGACAGAATTGGGTACTGAAATTGTTGAGCATGTCTTGCCTGAGGGAGGTGCTGCTCCTTCAACATCTCTGAATCCCATTGTGCCAGATACTCATCCAACGGTATCTGGGAGGAAGTCTTCTCCAGGCTCCCCAGTTTCTTCTTCACCACGTTTTATTGATGCAATTGAACAACCTGTGACACTAGATGTAAATTCACCAGATCGATTGGCTGGAGAACTGTTCTTCCTGGATGTTTCACTAGCATTTACAGCTGAGGAGTTGTCACGAGCTCCAGCAGAAATTTTAGGTAGAAGCAGTCATGGGACTTTATACAAGGCCACTCTAGATAGTGGGCATATGTTGACTGTGAAGTGGATGAGGGTAGGATTGGTCAAACATAAGAAAGAATTTGCCAAGGAAGTTAAAAAAATTGGATCAATGAGACATCCCAATATTGTTCCGTTGCGAGCTTATTATTGGGGGCCAAGAGAACAGGAGAGGCTTATTTTAGCAGACTATGTTCGTGGAGATAACTTGGCTCTACATCTTTATGGTAAGAGCCTTTTTAAACTGATATACAGCTGTCCTCCCATAAGCGAAGTCTAGTTTAGTGGCCAAAGAGATGTTAAATTAGGAAGACTTTCTAGGCCTTCTCTCTTCAAGTTCCACCCAAATGTTGAGCCCCCACCCACTTCTTTAAGTTTTTCCAATGACCACTTGCTAACCTCAAATTCAAGGACATTGTCGGGGCCGACAGAATTGGGTACTGAAATTGTTGAGCATGTCTTGCCTGAGGGAGGTGCTGCTCCTTCAACATCTCTGAATCCCAATGTGCCAGATACTCATCCAACGGTATCTGGGAGGAAGTCTTCTCCAGGCTCCCCAGTTTCTTCTCCACCACGTTTTATCGATGCAATTGAACAACCTGTGACACTAGATGTAAATTCACCAGATCGATTGGCTGGGGAACTGTTCTTCCTGGATGTTTCACTAGCATTTACAGCTGAGGAGTTGTCACGAGCTCCAGCAGAAATTTTAGGTAGAAGCAGTCATGGGACTTTATACAAGGCCACTCTAGATAGCGGGCATATGTTGACTGTGAAGTGGATGAGGGTAGGATTGGTCAAACATAAGAAAGAATTTGCCAAGGAAGTTAAAAAAATTGGATCAATGAGACATCCCAATATTGTTCCGTTGCGAGCTTATTATTGGGGGCCAAGAGAACAGGAGAGGCTTATTTTAGCAGACTATGTTCGTGGAGATAACTTGGCTCTACATCTTTATGGTAAGAGCCTTTTTAAACTGATATACAGCTGTTCCTCTATCTAAGTTGTCATTTTTATATTTCTCTATTCATACTTGTGACTCACGCAAACATTTTTCAATTCTCTTTTATGGACGAGCTTTGTGGCATATCAATAGTTAGGCTATTGTGTTGTGGTTTAATTCCAGTGATACTTGGAAGTGTGGAATCCAGTCTTGTGATGTTAGACTTGACAGTCTTACTCTACATTTTGTTTCGTCAAACAAATTTAGGAAATCTCCTTTTTGGTGGTATTAGTTGAAACTTGTCTGTAGTATCTCAGCTTGCTTGTATGAAACTTGCTTAAATTGCGAGGGACTATGTTTGTTCTAGAAGTTCTGTATCTGTGGTCGCTAAATTTAATACTTTGTTAAATTTAAATTTGAATTTCTCTTGCTGATACAGCGAAATTATATAACTATTTCTTTGATAGTGAGTATGGCATTGGTAAATTGAACATTGGCTTACCATCTTGGGGGACAGTTTTTGATTCTCCATCTCAGCAGATTGATCTATGGACATGAATTTTGCAATTGTTAAATTTCCATGTAGAATTTCTGCATCATGCTCAGGCCTCTTCATACTCACTAGCATATTTTTATTTTATTTTTAAAAGTATCTTTATCATTAGCATATGTTCATGCGGTTTCATGCCAACACTCTGCTTGTTATTTGCATGAATCTAGTGTGGGAGTACAAGAAATCTTGTGACTTATCTACAATACATGGAGTTGGAGTTGTATTTATTTTGCTGAACTTTCACTTGTATTACTACTATATCTGTGTGGTGTGATCATGCTGTCTTGCTCCCATTAGTCGAGTCTGCCAGATCTAGCCTCCCAATTCTTTTTTGCCTCACAGACACTGTTTCTGTCAAAGAGTGCACCAAGCTTAAAACTACAAAAGAAGGTTAAATATGAGAACTTCCCAAGATCCTTTTTGCTTCACTAAGATTCATAACAAATTCTCTTTTTGCGTGCCTAGTGTCCTCGTTTGTTTAGGTGTCCTTTGTCCCACAGACTATCCTCAAAAAACCGTGAAGCTGAATTGCAGGATTTAGATTTTGAACTACATTGTACTGATCAAAAAGAGATTTTGAACTACATTGTAATTCTAGAACTAATGAAACAACTGACTTTATGTTATGTACCTGTAGAGATCAAATTGAAGTGTTGGCATTTCATTAGAGAAGCCCTTAGTCACGACATCTTTCTCCAGGATTCTGAAGCTCTTACAGCAATTCTCGCATTTGTGTATCGGCACAACTTAAGTCAACCAATAGCCAAATATTGACAGGATCTAATGACAAGGTTACAAACCCTAATTTTTTAGGTGCCTTAGCTTTATTGGATTTGTTTCTTTGGTGGGGGTAACTGGTTGGATTTGTTTCTTTGGTGGGGGTAACTGGACGGGTATTTTTGATCTCAAGATGAGATTTTCTACCAACTCTACCATCTTAATTCACACATGTTACCTGCTAGTAAAATTTTGTGTGCAGGATTGTTTTGAAATTGCATTGAACTTGTCTTAGTTTTGAATATTTCATTAACACTTGTCTTGCACAGAGACGACACCCCGGAGATACTCCCCGCTGTCATTCAGCCAAAGGTTGAAAGTTGCTATTGACATTGCTCGGTGTCTGACATACCTTCATGATAGTGGCCTTCCTCATGGGAACCTAAAACCTACTAATGTACTCTTGGAAGGCTCTGATCTGAATGCTCATCTTACTGATTACAGTCTCCACCGTCTGATGACACCAGCTGGCATTGCAGAGCAGATATTAAACCTTGGAGCACTCGGATACCGTGCTCCTGAACTCGCTACAGCAGCCAAACCAGTCCCATCATTCAAAGCTGATGTGTATGCATTTGGAGTGATTTTAATGGAATTGTTGACCAGAAGAAGTGCTGGTGACATTATCTCAGGTCAATCGGGGGCTGTTGATCTTACAGATTGGGTCCGGCTATGTGATCATGAAGGACGAGGAATGGATTGCATTGACAGAGACATTGCCAGTGGAGAGGAACACTCGAGAGCAATGGATGAATTGCTTGCAATATCACTAAGGTGCATTCTTCCTGTAAATGAAAGGCCTAACATCAGACTAGTTTTCGACAATCTCTGTTCTATATCTGTTTGAAATTTTGTACATGTGTCTTGGAATTATTTTTTCCTTCCTCGACTTTCTTGTTTTTTTCCCCCACTCTTTCTCCACCATTGGTTTCCTAGCCTCCTAATCTGGGCTAATCTTCACATTCTTTTCTTAATTTTTGTGTAAAGCGACAATCGATCTATTGATTGATTGACAGTATTTCTCAGTTTGATCTTGAAGTGAAAAGATTGCAAATCATCTTTCTCATTTTTGTCTCTTGAGTTGGTTGGTGTATTAGCATTACCAGGTGATCAACTAACGTTGTGTTTGGTTTTGATGGAAAGGAAGAGAAAGGAAGGGAAGGTTGATTTTAATTCTCTCAATTTTTTCTGATTATGTGTGGTCTTGAATTTGTGAAGAGGAATAACGACAGAGTAGAAATGAAACTATATTTATATATTTATTATTATGGATAAATAAATAAAAAATAAAGATATTTTGGCAATTATATATTCATTTATTTTTCATTTTCCTAACCCAATTAGAGGAAAACATTTGCTTGTTTTACTTTATTTTTCTAGGGAATTAAATTTTTTTCTAGTGCACAACTTTTCATTTTAATGGAAGTAATAGCATCAACATCAGGTTCTGTAATTTTTGTGCCAAATTATACTCTATAAATCAATTTTTTAACTGCACTATCCATCACACACTATTCTAACTGTATTTCACTAAAAATTTATTTTAGTACCCATTCTCTCAAAAATAGTTTCCAAAAAATCAAAGGAAAGGCGTTAAATACATCAAAGGTTACAATTCTAATCCTCAAATTAGGTCCCCATCCAAAAATATATATGTATTAAAAAATCCTCAAATAGGAATCTTGTGTCATTTTGGTTTCTCTAATATTCAAATTGTATCAATATGAACTCAATGCAGAAAAAGTTGTATTTGGTTTAAATAGTTATTAACATCTCTACACTTTCATTAAAATCTCATTTTAGTTTATACTTTTACTAAATTTTATTTTTATTTTTTTATTTTTAATTTCTGCCAATTACTCATTAAAAATCTGTTATTCCCACAATGGATGTGTGTATGTGTAAATAAATGTATAAATAAAATAAACAACAAAATAAAAATAAATAATTCAAAAATAATTATATAAATTAAATTCCAAATTAATTGCTTACATAAATTATAAGTCAAGGCTTATGTTGGACACAGTTTCTTTACAGTAGATTTTGCTCTTGCTTTGGTGTTACGAGATTTAACGGCGTCTATTTCCTATGATGCAACGACTAACACTTGATTTGCAGCACTACAAACTCAAGTCTGGCGAACCAAACAATGCTGTAACTCTCTCTTTCTTTTCCTAGAAACTAAATGGTAGATAGTTACAGGAGGACGAACAAAAGAAGAAAGGAAGAAATGTTAGGATAATTTCGATACAAAGAAGTGCTGGAATGGCAGGCTATTTATAGGAAAATTGGTGGCTTTTCAGAGCAGGTTTCAACAGATAGGAAACCTGTTCAGATAGATTCAATAGGTAGAAAACCTGTTTGGGTGGAATTCAACAGGTTCATTTAGGTGGAGTTTTAAACTTGTTTGGGTGGAGGATTAATTCTGGACCAATTTATTTTGAATTTTGAAACCAAAATTAAAAAATAAATAAAATACAAATGTTTTTGGTGCCAAAAGATAAGTATTGGATCGGACAAGCCCAATCCAACATCACACCGTATCCCGCCTGCTCGACTAATCAGATGGTGACGCGTGCACGTGTGTTTTTTTGTTTTGGGTCTAATGGATCTAGCCTACTTTACCCATAACCTCACTCTTCTACAAACTTAGGTATCCCTTGAGGCTCATCTCAAGTATCCCAAGCTAAAGTTTATATACCTATATAAATCCTTAAGCTTTTCCAATGTGGGACAAACACATTTCACAAACGTGTAGGAAACCCACCTAAAGCCATACCTACGAACCTCGAAAATGCACGTTAAATTTTCATTCATCCGGAAATGGTTTTGAACAATCAAATATACGATATTATTCATTACGCAGCATTAAACATGAACCCAATTAATAACGTTAAAAATAACGCTTAGGTCCTACTTTAATTAATGTTCAAAGTTAGCAAAAAATAAGGTTTTTTCAAAGCCATATTCCAACAATTCCCCACATGAGTGGAATTCACGATAACAGACATGCCACAATATGCAGACAAAGAAATAGTGCATTAAGAAGATACACCACATCGAGATCGGTAACTTTTGGCTTTGAACCTCCTCTAGTGAAAGCCTATCAGACTTATAACTAGTGGATGTGGTGCCTTAAACTGTTCAGCTGTTTGTGTAAGTTAAGACAATTGTGTCCATTTTGGCCTTGAATAACCCTTGGTAATTCATGAGTGCTCTAGAGAATTTAGCCTTCTCAATTCTCACAGAACTAGCCCAGTTCATATTTATATAGGCGACTTCTTATTAAGAGTATCCTGCTATACCCCACTTGGATATCCAAGCTATAAGAATTATTAAAAGCAAAGCTTATCCTACTAACGCTACAAGTATCACTCTTCTTATCATAGAAATAGGTAGGATAAAACCTCCTTAGTGATACGTGAAGTCATCTATAATTCGGTTGTCCCTTTGAACGTAGATCTTGGGATCTCCAGTCAACTAGGTTGGGTTGCCATTATGGTGACTTTTAAGTAATAGGCTTTAATCTCATTCCGCTGGATAAATGATACACTTACTCTCTGGCTTGCCCTTTAGTCAATGGACCTGCAATATTCTATCTTGACTTTACATATTCTATGGAAATTATTCCATGTGAGAGCAAATGCCTAACGGTATTATGTCTTCGACGAATGTGTCGAGACTTACCGTTATACATATGATTTTGTACCCGTCTTATTGTTGTTTCACTATCACAGTGAATGCATATAGTTAATACAGGTTTAGGCTACATTGGAATGTCTTCTAAGAAATTACGAAGTCATTTTGTTTTTTCTCTTATTTTATCTAATACGATAAACTCAGATTCCATTGTTGACCTTGCTATGCATGTCTGCTTGGAGGATTTCCAAGAGACTATAGCACCTCTCGGGGTAAAGACGTATCCACTAGTGGATTTTGAATCTTTAGTATCTGATATCCAATTTGCATCAATGTACCCCTCGAGTACTGTTAGATATTTGGTATAATGTAAGCCATAGTTTCAAGTATGTCTTAGATACCTGAGTACCCTAATTATCGTTTTCCAATGATCAGACCCTAGATTACTTGTGTACCTAATCAATTTGCCTATTGCATAGGCTATATCTCGCCTAGTGCAATTCATTAAGTACATCAAGCTTCCGATTATCCAAAGTACTCTAATTGTGATATGCATGCACTTGTATTTTTTGACAAATGAGGACTAATGTCAACAGGTGTTTTAGCAGGACGGTCGTCATACTTTCCAAATTTTTTCAGAATCTTCTCAACATAATGAGATTGAGATAAAACATATTCTTCAGATGTTCTAGTAATTTTTATTCCTAGAATTACATCTGCTACTTCCAGATCTTTCATGTCAAACTTTTTGTTCAAAATTTTCTTTGTGAATTTAATCATGTCATTATTGCTTCCAATAATGAGCATGTCATCAATATAAAGACAAACTATGACATAGCCTTTGTCTGTGTGTTTAACATAGACGCATTTGTCACATTCGTTTATCTTAAAACCATCCGAAATCATAACGTGGTCAAATTTTTCATGCCATTGTTTCGGAGCTTGTTTTAATCCATAAAGAGATTTGACAAGTTTACAAACCTTTTTCTCTTGGCCGAGAACTTGAAACCCTTTCGGTTGTTCCATATAGATTTCATCATCTAACTCGCCATTCAAAAATGTTATTTTAACATCCATTTGATGTATCTCTAGATTATACAAAGCTGCAATCGCAATTAGCATGCAAATAGTTGTTACTCTTGTCACTGGTGAATAGGTATCAAAATAATTAAGGCCTTCCTTCTACCTATATCCCTAAACAACAAGCCTAGCCTTGTATTTATTTATTGAACCATCTGCTTTTATTTTTCTCTTGAATATCCACTTATATCCAAGAGGTTTACAACTTGTTGGAAGATCCACCAGTTCCCAAGTATGATTTTGCAGAATTAATTCAATTTTATTATTCACAACCTCTCTACAATGGAGCTTCAGGACTTGACATTGCTTCTTTGAAGTTTTGAGGCTCATTTTTTAACAAGTATGTCAGAAAATCTGGACCAAATGATTTAGAGATCCTAGCCCTCTTGTTACGTTTAGGTTCATTTGCTTCATTATCATTGTGGTCTTCACTTCCACCTATATTAGTGTCAAAAGTTCTTTTATTTGAACTTGTCTCCTCAACTTCAAGAGTTTTGAACTTTTTAGTTTTCTTGCAAGGAAAAATGTATTCAAAAATTGATGATTCCTAGACTCAATAATAGTATTTACATGCATATCAGGATTTTCAGATTTATGAACTAAGAATCTATATGCACTACTATTATTTGCATAACCAATTAACACACAATTAACGATTTTTGGTCCTATCTTAGTCGTTTTGGGACTAGGGACTGTCACCTTAGCCAGACACCCCCATACTTTAAGGTAATTGTAGGTAGGTCATCGACCTTTCCATAATTCATAAGGTGTTTGATTAATTTTCTTGTAGGGTACCCTGTTAAGGATAAAGTTAGTAGACAAAATCACATCTCCCCACAAATTCTGAGGTAACCCTGAACTAATCAACATGGCATTTATCATTTCTTTAAGAGTTCAATTGTTTCTCTCAATAACTCCATTTGATTGAGGAGAATATGGTGTAGTGGTTTAGTGAATAACACCATGTTCAGAACAAAATTCCTCAAATGGTGCATCATACTCACCACTCCTGTCACTCATCACTACCTTAATAGTTTTGCCATGTTGATTTTCAACCTCAAACTTATATTGTTTAAAAGTTTCTAAGGCTTCATCTTTACTTCTCAACAAGTAAACATAGCAATATCGAGTGCAATCATCAATAAAAGTAATAAAATACTTAGCAAATTTTAAATTTAAAAGTAATAAAATACCTCCTCTAGTTTAAACAAATTTTAAATCACAGATATCTGTGTGAATTAAATTTAGAGATTCAGTACTTCATTGTACTTTATTAAATGATGCTGTAATGAGTTTTGCCTCAACACAAATCTTACATTTATGATTAGGATCAAACTCTAAGTTTGGAAAACATTCTAAAGAAACAAGTCTACACAAGGAATTAAAATTTACATGTCATAATCTACCATGCCATAAAAAATAAGACTTAGCAAATATAAACAGAAGATGTGTTCTTATTATTAATAGTCAAATTTGGTACAATAGTTAATGCATTAAGATTAAAAAGCCCATCACTCATGTAACCTCGCCCCACATACATTCCACTCTTGGAGAGTACAACCTTGTCAGATTCAAAGACTAATCTAAACCCATTCTTAATCAACAATGACCTAGAAATCAAATTCTTACGAATCTCTGTCATGTGGAATACATTGTTGAGCGTGAGTTTTTTCCCCAATGTCATTTTCAGTATAATCTTTCCTTGTTCAATTGATGTGGAGGAGTTTCTCATAAAAAGCTGCTCCCCACTTTCCACCACTTTGTAGGTTGTGAACATCTTATTCTCTGCACAGATATAGCGGATTGCTCCAATATTCACCCACTACTCCTTGGGATTGCCCACTAAATTTGCTTTAGAGACTACTACAGCAAGATTGATGTTTGTCACTCTATCGGAAAGATAAAAATCCTCGGTTATGTTGGCTTGTGCTAGCTTTTTGCTTGAACTCCCTTCGTCCTTGCGAACGTGACAATCCTTGGCGCAATGTCTATCTTTGCAGCACACAAAACACTTGCCTTTAAACCTCTTGTTGAACCCGTTGTTAATCCCTCTGTTCATCTTACTAGTAGATCCTTGTTTGAGGCCATTGCCATCATGCTTCCGTTTTTTGTTATTGAATTTTGACCATTGTCCATGTTCTACAACATTTGCTTTAGCTTTGCATGATATGGTTTCCTGACTTCTTATCGGAACCACGATTGTCCTCCTTAATTCTAAGCCGCACTATTAGTTCTTCCAATTTCATCTTCTTGCGCTTATGCTTTAAATAATTCTTGAATTCTTTCAAGGATGGTGGCAATTTTTCAATGATTGCTGCTACTTGAAAAGATTCACTGAGAACCTTCCATTCCTCATGTATGTTATGGAGAATTAATTGGAGATCTTGAACCTGACTAATGACTGTCTTGGAATCTATCATTTTAAAATCCAAAAAATGGCCAACAACAAATTTCTTTGTACCGGCATCCTTTGTCTTATACTTATGATGTAGAGATTCCCATAGTTCTTTCGCAGTGCTTTTGACACGATACACATTGTACAGTGTATTGTCCAACCCATTGAGGATATAATTCCGACATAGAAAATCACTATGTTTCCATGTATCGACTGCGGCAACCATTTGCTGATCAGTTTCTCCCTCATTTAGTGCCGAAGCTTTTTCATGAGTGAAGCGAGCCAAATTCAATGTCGTAAGATAAAATATCATTTTTTGTTGCCATCTTTTAAAATAATTTCCATTGAATTTTTTGGACTTCTCCTCATGATTTACCGGTATTGCCGCAATCATCACTAGCACAACAGGTGTGGGGGTCGGACTAAAAATAGTCTTAGTACTGTTTGTTTTAGTGGACATATTTCTGACGAAATAATAATGCACCAATCACAAATTTATACAGAATAAAATTTACATACAAAATAATATTTTGTAACAAAATTCTAATGATAAATAGTATATGATTACTTTGTTATTAAAGAAATCATTAAAAAGTATATTACTACTATTTACGAAATTAATCAGTATATAACTACTATTTAATTTCCCAAAACAAAATATTTGTCTGCCTAACACACAAATAAAAAAAAAAAAAACAAAAATCTACTTTAAGATTGTTATTCCCACAGTTGATCTCTGTATAAATAAATGTACAAATAAAAAAAAAATCCAGAAAATAATTATATAAATTAAATTCCGAATTAATTGCTTACAGAAATTATAAGCTGAGACTTGTGTTTGACACAATCTCCTCAAAGTAGATTTCGCCTTCGCTCTGGTGCTTCGAGATTTAATGGCGTCTACTTCCCAAGATGCAATGACTAATACTTGATTTGCAGTACTACAAACTCAAGTCTGGCAAACCAAACAATGTTGTAACTCTCTCTTTCTTTTCTTAGAAACTAAATGGTAGATAGATACAGGAGTAGAGGAGGATGAACAGAAGAAGAAATGAAGAAATGTTAGGATAATTTCGATACAAAGAATTGCTGGGATGGCAGGCGATTTATAGGAAAATTAGTGGCTTTTCAAAACAGGTTTCAATAGATAAAAAACCTATTCAGGTGTAATTCGACAAGTATGAACCTGTTCGAGTGGAGTTTTAAACCTGTTTGGGTGGAGTTTTAAATCTCCAAAATTAAAAAATAAATAAAATACAAATATTTTTGGCCCAAAGATAAGTATTGGGTCGGACAAGCCCAATCCAACCTCACACCACGCGGCCAAGCCGGCTCCAACCGGACGGACAACGACGTACGCTCGTTTTTTGTTTTGTTTTGTTTTGGATACAATGGGTCTAACCCACTTTACCCATAACCTCACCCCTTCCACAAACTTGGGTACCCCTTGAGGTTCATCCCAAGTATCCTAAGCTAAAGTTTATATACCCATATAAATCCTTAAGCTTTTTCAATGTAGGACAAACACATTTCACAAATGTGTAGAAAATCCATATAAAGCCATACTGACGAATCTGAAAATGCGCGTTGAATTCTCATTCATCCGAAAATGATTTTGAGTAACTAAATACACGATATTATTCACTATGCGACATTAAACATGAACCCAATTAGTAACATTAAAAATAACGCTTGAGTCCTACCTTAATTAATGCTCAAAGTTAACAAAAAATAAGATTTTTCAAAGTCATTTTCCAACAAAATCAACGAATGAAAAATGAAAGGATGACATTTTGAGATTTGTGTTTCTGTTTGGATTCTTTGTAGTTTAGTAAAACTGTGTTTGGTTCATAAATTTATAGAAGAATTTGAAAAAAAAAAATTAAAAATGTTTATCTTTCATTCAAATTTTACTTACATTTTCTTTATTTCTTTTTCTTTACAAATCTCTCTTAAAATTTATGAACAAAGTACACTCATAGTGTATTAAACATGGTGGTTTTTTAAAAAAAATTAAGTTTTGTGATCTTTAGAAAAAAGACAAAAAAAAATTTTTCATTTCAAAATCAAAAAGTCAAAAAAGCCAAATAATAATACCAAACGACTAAAAAAATCTCAAGCTAAAAAAGTCAAAATTTTTTAAAGTTAACTAAAAAAGTCATTGCCAAACGAGCATTTAGAATTATGATTTGAGTATGGAATTGTATTATGAGTTTTGAGTTTTTGAATCATAATTTAAAAAAAAAAAATTAGTTATGAGTTTTAAAAATAGTTTTGGGATAATTTGTAATTTTTATTTATTTGTTTTTTTTTTTGATTGATTGATTGATGTATGGAATATGAGAAGAGAGGAGAAATGAGAGAGAAAAAATGATTGATTAATAACAATAATAAAAATAAAAAAAATTAAAAGTAATTTTAATTTGTATTTTAAAAATATATTTAGTTAATATATTATATCTAAAACATAATTTAAAAACAGAGTGAAATTTTAAAAAGTAAACCAAATGTACTTTTTTTAAAACGTTTTGACAGGAAAATAACTTGGGCTTCAACGCTGCAGTGCAACAAACGTCGCTGAAATTTTCCTTGTCTTTGCCGAGCGGACAGAACCCTAGCTGCTCACAGTCTCTCTCTCTCTCCCACACACACACACACACACAGAGGAGACTTGTGCAGCACAGATGCGATGCGAACTCTTCTTTCCCAGCGTTTTCTCTCCCCTTTCCCTTTGAACACTCTCTACTCCAAACCCATCATCATCAGACCCTTCTTCCTCTGTTTCTTCTCTTCTTATTCTTCTGTATCTTCTCCCCTTCACACTCGCTCAACCACAAGCACAACCCCCATCTCAAACCTAATCTTGTATGAATACCTCATCAAAACTTTCTCATTCTCTGAACCCCAAGCTATCTCTATCTCCAAGCGCTTCCCACCGATCAAAACCCTCAAAAACCCAAAATCCGTGGTCCAACTTCTCAAACAACTCGGCTTCTCCAATGCCCAAATTCGATCCTCCATCCATTGCGCTCCCCAAATCCTCTTCTCTAACGTCGACAGGACTCTCAAGCCCAAGCTCCAGTTTTTTCTGGATCTGGGTCTCTCTGGTTCTGATCTCGGTAAGTTCATGTCTAGGAATTCTACCATTTTGACTCGTAGTTTAGACAAAAAATTGATTCCATGTATTGATGTCATCAAGAAAATTCTTGTAAATGATAACAACAATCAGGATTTGATTCGGGTTATGCGGAGGTGCAAATGGGTTACCTTCAGAGAACCCCGAGAGAGGTTGCTCTCTAACGTTGCGTTCTTGGAGAGCTGTGGGATTGTTGGGTCTCAGCTCTCGATGCTCTTGACGAGGCAGCCTCGCCTTTTTGTTTTATCAGAATCCAAGCTTAGAGACCTCGTTTTGAGGGTTTTAGATATGGGTTTTTCGATTGAGTCGAGAATGTTGGTTCATGCTTTGTACACTGTTAGTTGTATGACTGGTGAAACTTTCAATAGGAAGTTGGAATTGTTTCGGAGTTTTGGGTTTTTGGAGAGTGAGTGTATGGAAATGTTTAGGAGGACTCCAGGTTTGCTTCGGACTTCAGAAGATAAGTTGAGGGTTGGGATTGAGTTCTTCTTGAATGATATTAAGTTTGAAAGGTCTGTTTTAGTTCATCGACCAAATTGTCTGATGCACAGTATGGAGGAGAGAGTAATCCCTCGATACAGAGTTTTACAAGTTATGAAATCCAAGGGGTTGTTGAAGAAGATGCCAAGTTTAATTCATGTTTTGAGTTTGACGGAGGAGGAGTTTCTAGCGAAATTTATATCGAAATTTAGAGATGATGCGAAGGAATTGTTGGTGGCTTACAAGGGTCATCTTTTGAATTCTTCGGAGGAATAAGAATTGTGAACCTTTATTTTATTGCCATTGTTGGCAGCGATGACCGGTTCTGAGATCAATGTTTTAACTTTGGTTTAGTGTTTTGCCATAAACCTCGCTTTGGGAGCCATGGCAGCTTGGGAATGAAATCTGGTAACTTAATTGTGGTTTTGGTCTGTTTAGCACTGGCAACTTCTTGCTGTATGATATGCAGAGTCGTAGATTGGTTTTCTTTAATGTGATAGCATGGTTTGAGAACCTTCAGCAATTAGGGTGCCCTGTGTTGAACCAGTCCTGATATTCAAGATGATTGACCAGTTGTTTGGTTGGAAATGGTGGAGACTCGAAAGAGACTGGAAGGATGAATGCTTGGGATTCTTATTTGCTGAAGAATGATCTCTATCCCAGATGCAGATAATGAACATCCAGAAATGCCAGGTTTGTTCAAGTAAAGAATTTAAGTGAATATGGAAGCTAGTTACCCTGTTGCAGCTGGTCTTTAAATTTTTTAAATAACACCCTAGATTTTATTGCGTTTCACCATTGGATTAGAAATTTGTGTTAGTAGTGTTTTTTTTATTTTCTAATGATAGTATCTGTTCATATATTCATACCGAGTCATTTGGTATTCAGGAAAAGAAATAGCCTTTATACCAGTAGTGTTGGCTAGTTGAATATATAGACCTTTTCATGTGATTATATTTAAATTGAACTACCTCAAAGAGAAAAACTTTATTTATTACTTCCAGAAGTTCCTCAAACACACTCCCAGATCAATACATAATGAAACCAAACCATTAGTTGAAATTATTCAAGAACTGGATTTCAGTACAGTTAACGTGGCCGCATCTTATGTTGCTAAACACAATATCATGAGTGATGGGATGAAATCTATTCTGATCATTCATAAACTATGTAACAAAAAGAGAAACCAGACAGGCTAGAAAAGATTTTTGAAAACATATTACTCTTGTACAAAAATCTTGCGAAATCTTTATTGGTTATTAGATTTTTGACTTAAATGAGCTTTCAAATGTGTTTAGGCTTGGTTTATTTGCATAATGAGTTGATCTTAAACAAGCTTTTAATGAGTTGAATATAAGTAATTTTTTTTAGTAGCCTTCTGCAATCTATCTTCCAATTCTTCTCAGCTTTGAATGCCCATTATTGCATCTGAGTTTGTGGTGTGAAGTTACATAGTCCATACTGGGCCATCTCAGTTTGGGAGTTTTTTTACCGCAGCTTTCCCTTTAGAATCGATTATTGGAATTCCGTGTAATTATCCCTAATATTTACTAAGTAGTTATTTCTGTACAAGGTTTTAAATTCCTTTCAACGATCCTTAATATTTACTAAGTAGTTACCTCTGTACAAAGTTTTAAACAGTGATATCAAAGGCTAAATTAGTATCGACCAGTGTTGTGATATCAAGAGTACTGGAAAAAAAAAACCTCTGTACAAAGTTTTAAACAGTGATATCAAAGGCTAAATTAGTATCGACCAGTGTTGTGATATCAAGAGTACTGGAAAAAAAAAAAGAAGGTATCAGTACTTTGTGCCAGAAATTTTAATGGGCAAACGACGAGTTTTGGCTTTTTTAATGGTTTTATATTTTATTTTCATTTAGTGATTTTTTATTTTTTATTTTTGTCTTTAGTCAACTTGTTTTTGGATTCTTTATATATGTATATATATATATATATTACTTTTTAAGTTTCGTTTGGGAAAAAGGGTTGGGTTGAGTTTAGGGTTAAAAAAACAAAATAGATTTTTATCTGAGTTTGTGGTGTGAAGTTACATAGTCCATACTGGGCCATCTCAGTTTGGGAGTTTTTTTACCGCAGCTTTCCCTTTAGAATCGATTATTGGAATTCCGTGTAATTATCCCTAATATTAACTTAGTTATTTCTGTACAAGGTTTTAAATTCCTTTCAACGATCCTTAATATTTACTAAGTAGTTACCTCTGTACAAAGTTTTAAACAGTGATATCAAAGGCTAAATTAGTATCGACCAGTGTTGTGATATCAAGAGTACTGGAAAAAAAAAAAAGGTATCAGTACTTTGTGCCAGAATTTTTAATGGGCAAACCACAAGTTTTGGCTCTTTTAATGGTTTTATATTTTATTTTCATTTAGTGATTTTTTATTTTTTATTTTTATCTTTAGTCCAACTTGTTTTTGGATTCTTTATATATGTGTATATATATATATATTACTTTTTAAGTTTCGTTTGGGAAAAAGGGTTGGGTTGAGTTTAGGGTTATTTTAACTATAAAAAAACAAAATAGGTTTTTTAGTCCAATAAGACAAAATATAACGTTCAACTCATAATCATTACCTTTGTCTCACAAAAAGTCAAAAAAATTAAAAAATTATTTCCAAACGAGGCTTTTTAATCCCAGGATAAAATTGTAAAAAAGTCAAAAAGTCAATTCTCTTTCTAAAGGAATCCTTGGAATCTTTCAACAATAGGTGGACGGGAAAAGAAAAAAAAAAACAAAACAAAAGAAAAAAAAAAATTGACATATATTTGAAAAAATAAATCACTAAAAAAAATATTGGAAGAGAGATGTTTTTATTTTTTATTTTTTAGTTGGTATGTTAGCAAAGAAATCCCTTCCCCGGAGATCAATAACTACTCCCTTGGAACCTCTCCGGTAGAAATTTCTTGGGTTCGGTCCACGCATTCTGGTCTCTAAATTGCCCACGGATTGATGGTGACATGTGCCTTTCGGGGTATGTGGTAGCCGTTGACGGTGCAGTCCTCGGATTCATGGGGAGGCGTAGCGGCGCCACCGGGTGGAGCCGGAAGGCCTCCTTGACAACCATGTCTAGGTAGTCTAGGTGATCCAAGCCTGATTCCTCAACCATTCTGTCCAGGTCCACAATTTTTTCAAGTTCATTTTGGACTTTTTTCATAACCTGGGGATGCTTTGGGAGTTCAGAGAGTAACCACTCAATTGCTGTTGATGAAGTGTCCATTGAAGCTGCAAGCATGTCCTGCGAAACCAAATTATTAAGCATAATCCGAATGCTCGAATGTTTTTGTTTCCCCAAAAAATGGCTACAATTTTTAAAATTTCTAAAATTCAAGGAAACACACAGAAAGAGGAAGAATGTGTTTTTACTAGAACAAGTTTTTGGTATGGAAATGACTTCTGTTCAGTCCAATCAATATATTTGCGCCACTTCAGTGTCTTTTGTAAATCAAATGTTTAGGGTTTTTTTAACCCTTAAATATTGGGTTAGATTTTTTGGTTGGATCTAATATTGAGTTTGTAAGAGCATCTCCAACGGTGAATCAAATATTTCACCAAATTTGAAGAAATTCTCTATTTTATATCCAGCGTTCCAACGGTGTATTTTTGACTGCCAGCAAAATGTCGGTCGACCGGCAAGGCAATCTGAAAAAAAAAATCCAACACAAATCTTGAACAAATCTTGAACGGATGAGGAGGTGGAATTGAAAATTTTCAGTATTGTTTATTGAGATTGTGATTGAACCTAAACAAATCCCTACCCCAAACTCTTTCTCTCTCTACATCCCACACTTTCTTTCTCTCTCTCTCTCCCCCCTTGTTGTAAAAGATACCAACCCACTTCACCATTGAGTCTTTCCTTTTCTTTTATTTTCTTCTCTTCTCTTCTCTTCTCTGTTCTTTTTAGCTTCTAGACCTGTGATAGATGGGTGGTTCTAGCTTTTTGGACCTGTAAAAGCCCTAATTTTCATCATGTGCCACTGTTATTATTGTTGATGGAAGGCAATCAGTTCGCAGGCCATCGTAGGCCAACCAAAAAATTGAGCAGATTGAACATGTGCCAGTCGACCGGTGGGTCAACCGGCTGGACATCCGATTGGTTGACCGGTTGGCCTACCCCCAACATTACAGCACAGTGAAATGGTGAAATCTTGCGCTTGTCCTCAGTTTGATGAAAATTTTGTTCCATTCTCAGTTTGATATCAATTTGGTAAAACTATTGAAGAGGGAAAAGACGACTTTTTTCATCAAATTTAAAATTGATACTTAATCTGATGTACCGTTGGAGATGGCCTAAATAGATTGACAAAACTCAAATTATTATTTTATAAAAAATAAAAAGTTTGCCGAGGCAACGAATATTCATGCTTCCACTATACATCTCCTGAACTGGAGACCGCCTAGACTATTTTGTTATTTCCTCCCACCCTCTCCAGTAACATCCACTGGCCACTGGCCTATCCTTTTGACAACTTATCAAAATATTTCATATATATATTTGAAAATGTTAGACACGTTCTTAGTTTTTTTTTCATATAAATAAAAATAATGTAAAAAATAATGTTTATGCAAAAGAAATGTTATACTTAGCAAATAGAAAAATAATATAGAAAATCAAGACACAATAATATTCCAGTAGTTAATTTTATTAGGGGGATTTGGTGATAGCCCTCTTACTATCTAATTTGTCTTTCAAAAGGACAAGAATTATATAAGTACTTTCAAAACCTCCTAATATTTTAAAACTTGTTTCATTTACTATATTACCCTCATATGTATCAGCTCTCCTATTAAGCCATCTTCACTATATATTTCAGAGTAAAATTTTACTCTGTATGAAAGTAAAATTTTACTCTGTATAAAAGTAAAATCTTACATTCTGAAACTAAAAGTAAAATTTTATTCTGTATGAAAGTAAAATTTTACTCTGAATAAGAGTAAAATGTTACACTCTGAAATTAAAAGCAAATTTTACTCTGTATAAAAGTAAAATTTTACTCTGAAAAACTAGTAAAATGTTAGACTCTACACAAAAGTAAAATTTTACTCTGTATAAAAGTAAAATTTTACTCTGAAAAATGAGTAAAATGTTAGACTCTACATAAAAGTAAAATTTTACTTTGTATAAAAGTAAAATTTTACTCTAGTTCTGTCAAATGAAAAAAACAGAGCAATAGAACCAGAGTAAAATTTTACTCTGGTTCTGTCAAATGAAATTAGATAAAAAATAACAAAAATAAATCAAAAACAAGCAAACAAAAATAAAACAAATTATCAACAAATCCACATATCTAATTGAAACGAAAAACTTCTAAAACTCGATCAACAATCACACATCTCAATGAACCAAAAAGAATACATGTGTTCAGCAACACTCATACACACAAATATATATATATATATATATACATATATTCTACTGTTTCTCATCCACATCCTTTCCAACCTCCTGTTCAACTTCTTTCAATCTCGAAGCTTCAGCCTTCGCATTCAACATCGCCAGCATCTCATCAACAACCTCATCATGTTTCTTTTCCGCTTCCAATTGAGCCATCTCCACCGCACTCCAAATCTCCATCTGCTCCGAAACCCTAGCTTTCGAATCTCCAACGACATCCTCATTCAATTTCAACATACTCAAAGCCACATCGTTGCTGATTATGAAGATGAAGAGAGGA